TTTCGTGGAGGATCTCACGTGCGTTTGTTATCGAAACATTTCCTTTCTGCACATTTTAAATTAATTCTTTTCCGATACGTGGGTCTCGGCGTGACGGGAAAAAGAGCGTTGAAGTTTCAATCTCGCTGGTGGAATTTAACGAGCTGCAGAATATCTCGCGGGATTCTGAAAGCCCGCCGACGACGCGTGTTTGCTTTTCTTCGTTTGAAAGGGTTCCACGTTTTGGTGGCCTTTTGTAACCGCGAAGCCAGCGCATGTGGAAACTTCGCGGGGCCTTCCTCCCTCCCCCCGATAGAAAAGCGACGAGAACATTTGATTTCAGCCTGGACTCGTAAGAACGCCATGAAATAATTACGAGCGGGAACCAGGAATATGTACTTGTTTCGTTGTAAAAACGAAAAAATCGATCGGTAGAGCTGTTTGAATATGCAGCAGTGCATCGTCATTTCTGGCTCACAGCGAGTGCTTTTTCTGGGATTACGGAAACGTGATCTGTTGCATTTTAGTGAAACTTACGTGTGTCTTGTTTTAAAAAATATTCATACAAATAGAACAGAGAATAATAAATGTTAATGAAAATAGAATTACCAAACCTGTCAGAATGACGAATTTCAGATCTCGTACTTTAAATTATGTTAACGATACGAATATTCGGCTACGACAGGCGATGTAATACTATGCCCAGACGACGGCTCGTCCGTCGTCTTTATACGCAGCGATAACGCACGCCCGGCCGTTCGACTTCAAAGTGCCAAGCCGATCAGTCGCGTGACGGCACAACAAATTATAGAGATTATTAAATAATTGTAGATTTAAATAGAGAAATAATTGTGTATGCTGTCAGAAAGTACTCTGACTCGGAGTAGGGTGGGCGTAAAAAATCAGGTGATAAACCGGATTTGCCCTCTGGCTTGAATAGGCTATTGTTATCAAAAAACTCGTAGAAAAACTTCTCAAAGGTAACGTCGCTTGGTTAAACACTACGTTTGCAAATCTATCTTATCCACACATACGGTTCATTCATTTTCTCCTCCCTCTCTGTCTCACTCATTCCTGTTCTGTCCTACTCGATCAATGAAAGTTACTATATTTAGAAAAAGATGAGTAAATCATGAGCATATTTTAATGGATAATTTGGTATATTAATAAACTTTACCTAGGACATGAAAATTTCATTCGTTAAATACTGAAATTAATTAGATTTTAATACACTATTTTGTGCAATAATTACAGAACATATTTAATACGCATAAATAATTAGAATTATCTGTATGTGTTCCGTACCGAACATTTTTTTTTGTTTAGTTTAATAGTTCAAAGCAGTTGTAAAACGGACTTGAAGGATCCGCGGCACATAGGATTAGCCGAGACGGTTAGAGACGCGTACCCTCGGTAAAATCATAAATGAACGGCGTTTTCAAGACTCGTTTTTACGACCTATTGTTCCGACTTCCCAATTATCAAGGTGGTACTTTCCTTCTTTCATGTCTGATCTCCTTTTTTCCCGGAATTCCCCAAAACCCCGACACCTCATCCTTCTACCACCACTTCCCAGCAGTATCAATCTGAACGTTAAACAACAAGTATTGAATCAGTCCGAGCGCTGAACGCATAAACAAGTCGTTTATATTATAACGTTAGAAAGGGTATTCGTAAACGCTTCAGACCTCGTTAAAAAACAGTCCGATATTACTCTCGTGATCCAAGTTTGAAGGATAACTCAAACCGACGCGAGTACACGACAGTATGTACTGTTATTATTGCACAGTATAGTGTATTAAAATCTACCCAACGATGTATCATAAAGTACAACAATAAATTCCAACAATTTCATAAAGCAAAATATAAATGTTATTTACTAAATGAACATAAAATTATGTAAAAGGAGGAACATAAATATCGTACATGTAAAAATGCACCGCAATCGTCATTAACCGTTCCCGAATTCCTCAAGAACAAGTAACTGGATCATTTTATTTCCCCCGGTGGTTTAACTTGTGCCTGGTCTGCGCGTTTACGGAGATTGACTACTGGAAACGACTGCCTCGCAACACTACAGAACTCCGTAACAATAGCTGTAAAAAAACGGACGTTGATAGATGCTACGAGCGGCGATGGAGGCAAGATAGCCTTGCATCGCTCTAATTCTTTCGAGAATCACACCAACGATCGGCGTTTCCTGATAATTTCTTAGACTCGCAATTTTATTCTACCTTGTAAACGTACACAGCACGATCAATTGTGATCGACGTTGTGTCGGATTTCTGCATCACTGTGAACTTTAAAGGCAATAAATTAGGTTTCTCTTAATATTCGAAGTGGGAAAGTGGGAAAATTAAAATCGAATTTTAATGAAATATGAAGTGGCAAATAAGTGCACTGAATTATTCTGGGTTTGTAACACACGAATTGAATATACAACGTGTTCGTGAAGAATTGTATTCTTTTCAGAAACTTACTCTGGTTACCTTGGAGAAAGGAAAATCAATTTATAATTATAATAATAGTGATAATAGTAAGAAATATTTAAAATTGAATTGTTCCCAACTGGCAGAAAATTCAAAAATTAAACAACATTTTAACTAGTATCTATGACAAGTAGTAACATTTTTTAATCAAAATGTAAACTTTAATACATTGCAAGCATGTAACTTATAACCTTATTTCAATGCTTTTGAAAAATTTGCACTGGTCATCTTGGAGGAAGGAAAAAGAAATTGGTAAATATTTTATGGTCACGTTGTATCTTCTGACAACAGTAAGAAATATTTCAGATTAAATTCTTCTAAACATTTTAATTAGTACATTTAGCACCTTTTTCAGTACATTCTAATCGTATAATTTATAATCTTATTTCAACACTTGTCTGTGGCAGTATTCAGAAAAAGAAATTCCACGTCGAAACGTCCGCTATTCAACATTTCGAAATAATTCAATCTAACTCAAATCTGTATCGACAAATGTTATCACACCGAATAATCCACCTCTTATCGACTCGAAACCTCGCGAGCCAAGAACGAATACTCCAGCAGTAAATCACCATTGACTCTCGTTCCGCGACGTTAAATCTCCCAACTTCGTTCCTCGAAAACTTCTTATCGCCGTGAAACTTCACCGATCCCACCTCGGATTCAACCAAGTTTCTTTTTTTTCTTTCGTTGCAAACAGAAAGTCCAGTTTCCGTCGCTATTTCAGACGCCGATGCGACGACGAAGCGCTTCTCCAATTTCCTTGGAATTTCACCGAGAGCGGAAAGTATTCTCTGGCCGGGCAGGATGAATGCCTAAATTAGTAGGTCATAGCCGGTAGAGAGAGAATGTTCGCTGTGTCAAGACGCTTCAGCGATCGTTAGTCTGTTAATGTCCGTGACACGCGCGAAATTAACGGCTGAATGGCGAATTATACTGAATTTACAGCGACGGTAAAGGGCAGATGGCACTTCTCGCCAGACTGTTTGTCGACTGGCTCTACTGCGAAAACGAACCGTGCGAAACAAACAATAGTCATTCTCGGCGACTCCACTCGGGAGTATTTTTCTATGGAAAAGTTGGGCGAAATTATTTTGCCGATTTTTTCAACGCAGGCAAACGCACTTTTTGCTATTATTGCGGTGGAATTTTGCGGGAAAATTCACGGGGGGGGGACGTAATGTTCGGAAATAAGCGGATTTGTGAATAATTTCAAGTCAGTCAATTTTTGAATAATTTGGTGCAATATTGTAGGAATGTTAGGTTGGAGACAGATTTTACTCACGGAAAATTCAAAACAATTACAATTACATTTTAATAATAATAGGAAATGGACGAATAAACAAAAATTCAAGTACACAAAAACGGAAATGAAACGAAACGTTAAGGAAATTTGCATGCAACAGATTGAACAGTATCGAACGTCACTCTAACGCAACAGGAACTGCAACCTGGGAATCTTGACGGCAGAATCAACCAGAAATTAGACGTTAGATTGGATTCGAGACGACGGAAATAGAGGCGGCAAATCGAAGGAACAGGATTATGGTAGTTGAGCGTTGAAGGATAAAATTGCAGGAATCGACGGGATGAAAGAATTCTGTAGGACTTCCTTAATTTTTCTCTGCATACGAAATCAATTTACTCTGCGATAACGTTTTATTAGTTATAAATAATTTCAGTATTTCATACTAGCGATTATACTTTTTAGATCTAGCTACATACTGTTTTGAAAGGATGTACATAGTCTTATGTATGAAACTCTGCAACAATGTTTCTCAGTATTCACTTATTGCAAAGCTGTGCATTTTCAAAGGAATTCCCATTTCTCCCGGATTTTCCTCCGAATTTGTATCTTTGTTACGAAAATTTTTAAACATTTGACATAAAGAGGTATCCCAGTTTGACATAGGTATCCCAGAATTTTTTAAAAGCCTGGAATATTAAAAAAGTTAACAAAGTAAATCAATTGAGAATTGAGAAACAAAGCAAATTAGTTAAAAATTGAGAAATAAAGCAAATTAATGTAGAATTGAGAAACAAAGCAAGTTAATTTACAATTTAGTAAGAATGCAGTCAGGTTGCCATTTGAAAGAGTAGGGTCAATAAACGATAAAGCAAGTTAATTTACAATTTAGTAAGAATGCAGTCAGGTTGCCATTTGAAAGAGTAGGGTCAATCTTGAGACTGATCTTAAACGATAATTGCTTCCCTATACACAACTTACTGTCCAAGAGTACAAGGGTTTAGGCTGCTTCCTTTCGACGAGCAATGCACAAGAAAGTTGAGGAAAACAAGGGACGAATGTTTGGATAAGTAGTACGCTGAAAAGCTGACAAAAGGCAAGGGATGAATGTTCGAGCGATACATAAAACCAGTGAAAAACAAGGTGACGAATCGTTGAGATTAGGCGACCAGGAATATCCGTATCATACGTAAACTATTATCACCAATTATAAATGCAAGAACTGATCAATCGAACGGATATGTATTACGCTGATGTACAAATTTCCTCTGAATATTCTGTTACAGATGGTGGTGTGGTGGGTGGTTCGAGAGCTGGGCCAGTGGTGACACCTCATACATTGGAGTTGACACCACGCGGTAGAGTTTTGCTGCAACTTGCACCGCCGGAAACTGCTCGAGCGTATCTGCCGCCGGAATATCGACCTGGTCGTGTATATTCGGACACCGATTCGGAAAAGGTACGCGCTACTAATTAGGCACCGCTTCCATATCTTGCCGAGTTAATTAGCAGAACGGCCAATTCGAGAAACCGGGATTTCTCTCGGTTGTGTGTTAATTACTAGGCGAAGATTCATCGAGACGCGATGAAACATAGTTTTCGGTTAATTGGAGGCACGAGTGTGAACATTCACGCGAGGTTTGCGGTAAGGTGTGAAATAGAGGGTGGAAATTAGTGCATATGTGTACAGTTAGTCTTGGTTGTATTCGGACAGTATTTAGGGGAGCGTCACTTTTTTTTTAAATCGAACCAAACACTGGGGTTTTTATTTTTTTGAGAATCAGTAATGAAAATTTAAAAAATACGTTTCGTAGATTTATGTCAGCTGTACATACATATGCCGAAAGTGTTTTTAATATCAGGATATGTATGTAGTATGTATTACACGAATGGAAGTTTGTAAGTATTAGGAGACTTGCCGAATGTGGAACAACGTAAAGAGTCGTTACAAGATTCTTGAGAAATTACTCCCTCTGGAGTTTGAGAAAAATATGTAGAATAGTGTCAAGAAACTTACACTACTATTCTACATTGAATATGAGTTCAAAAAGGTGTGAAGTATAGCTGCCCCATGCAAGAGTAACTTCGTGTATATTTCAAAGTAGACATATGATAATAAAAAATAGAAAAATTGTAATTATAAAAATTATTTTTAAATAACACATTACTGTGGTAACATTTTATAAAAGGCACAGATGTTCTGAAGATGTTCTAAATTGCTGCTTTCATCACCTTCAAATCCACAAAACTCTCCAAAGCACACTAAAAAATTTCTAACACGTTCAAAATTACAATTTCACTTCCTTATATTCTTAATAAGTATCTATTCAGCAAAATTCAATCAACCCACAAGTACACAAACCCCTTTAAAACTTTACATTCATCGACGGACAAATAACTCCGGCACACCAGCAATATCGCCGCAAGTGTGCACGACCGTTAACAAAGTAACACTAATACAATTAATACGCAGGTGATTAACGAAACTATTTGCCCAATTTCCCGTGACACACATTAAACAGGGACAGGCGGTCGCGTGTCGAGCACGATTCTCAAAATTTTGCAATTAAGCCCCATTCACGCGAACACCCGTGTGTTGTGGGGCCACTTGCCCCGTTCGTGACGCTTAAATTGCTCGCTGAATTTCTTTTTCAGCCCAGCTAGCTCTCTCTTTTCGCCGTTGGCAATTTTTCCCTGAATAGAGGGCAGCCGCGTTTCAATCGGAATTAAACGCCGCGTCGACGTAATTCACGCGACCCGATAATTAATTGCGGTCACGGTGTGTAATGACGTTTTATACAATGGCGACATTTCGATGTGGAACACGCGGTGTAAGTGGATGCAAACAGCTGAAATCCGGGACCAAACGAATCGCGCCAGGCAAATTGTTTATCGGCAAATTAGCGGCGGCCCGCTCTTTTTCACCCGCATTCGCGGTTTTACCGTACACGACGAGAGTCGGATCGGTGGGCGCGCGACCGTGTGAAATATTTAATTTTCCAGCGATGTTGGCTGGTTCAAGCTGCTCTTTGTGAAGGGAGCTCGATCGTGTCAAATGCTAATTGGGAACGATATTTATAATAGAATTCGGACGAATTTCGCGCGGTCTTGTTTTAACGAAGAAAGAGACGTCATTTCGGTGCGGTGTTTTCTTTGTGCTCTGTTAGAATTTCGCTTCGAATGTAAATATTGAAGATACACAAGATGTGTGTATTAATTATTGACTTTGTACTCGTTTTTGTGACTCTTTTAGGTGTAAATAATTTATTCAATACTAGGCTTACGGGACGCGTCATTTTGACGCATTTCGAATTTCACTAGAGGAATTACAGGAACCGTTTACATTTCTCTCCTGCCACTTATGCTTATTATGAATTTTGTGTAAATATACCGTTCGTATTATCGTTCATTTATAAGTTAATAGCGTATAATATGTTGTTTTTAAAGAAAATATGCGGAGATAGGTATGTAAGAAATGTCCGCAAACCTAGTGTTAATTATATACATGTACAATTTGAGTTTATTAACCCTTTGCACTCCATAGTATGCACTATAACTCCATTCAAGTTTTTTTTTTATATCAACATGAAGCAGATTATTTAAAATAAACATATTAAAATAAAATTTTTCGTTTTGAAAAATTTCACTGCAGACGTGGTCGATCGTATCAGAAAATGCTGAGAGTACAAAGGGTTAATTTTATATATAGTATACTCTTTTCATTCCTACTGACATTTTGTAAGCAACAAATTTTATTCGCCCGCTGAGCATTAGAAGCTTCTGTTCCATTTAAAAAATTCCATTTGTCCGTAAACCGTTGGATCGTGAACCGTGACGTGAGTTAAATTACTAAACGTGCTGTGTGAAATGCGCAAAAACGAAAAGTAAATCGCAATTAAAGTTCTGTTAAAGGAGGACACGTTGAAAACGAGGCTATCGAAAGTATTATTTTCAACGTTAACTGATCGTGATATAACCTCATATTGTCCTTCCAGTTCCTGTTTTAATTAACAGTAAATTATGTCCATTTTCAGTCGTTAAATTTTCATTCTAATCCAAATTTCAATTGTTTTATATTTACTATAATTTAACGCAAACGTTTAAGAATCGTGTTCATCCTGAAGTGTAAGAGAAAATCAGTCAGGATAACGGTGGTGAAATTTTCATTCTAATCCAAATTTCAATTGTTTTATATTTACTATAATTTAACGCAAACGTTTAAGGATCGTGTTCATCCTGAAGTGTAAAAGAAAATCAGTCAGGATAACGGTGGTGAGCGGTGGAGTAAGATATAAACGTGGGCGGTTAAACAGAGTGAATGCTTGTATTTCGAACTATACTGTACGAGTGCTGATACAATTCCCTCTTTCCTGAAAAACCTAGTCAAGAGGACCCCCTTGACAATATGGCCTTTCTTAGCCTTGAGGCAGAACTATCCCTAGGAGGGGGAAACGCAGCAGAAGACTGCACATGGCCCACTCAAGCCTTCGCTTTTTGGACTTTTCTAACAGAAGACCCAAAGATTAGCAGCGAAAAAAATTGAGCGATACTTCTGTTCACTTCCTCTACAAATTTTGCAAAGTTTGAAAAATAATTAGAATTTTCGGTTTGTAAAAATTCCTGTTACTATCGTAACACCCTGTATAGAGACGACTATTGCACAATACTTCTATTGATATCCTCTATAAATTCTCAAAGTTTCAAAATTAATCGAAATTTTCGGGTTGCCAAAATTTCTCCTTTTGAGCGCAATACAGACTATCGATACACCCTGTATAAGGACGAGAATGTAGAAACGCTCGAAGTTTATTTATTGTGCCCGCCGTTTGTTCTCCCTTTAATCTCCACGAGATAAATACCGGCTAGCTGAAACAACGGACTTCTGTCCGGCGGCAGACAGGAAGGAAGAGAGTAGCGAAATAAGGGGGAGTGAAAAGGGTTAGAGGGGAAGCGAGAGACGGACCGAAGAGATACAAAGGCGTCGAGAGACGCAACGGTGTTTCGTTAGGTGACGGTGGAAAAAGATTTAACGATCGACTCGTTAATTGCGCGAATAAATTGCACGTGAAATTGGCCAGCTCCGCGTTAATTACCGACTGCCGACGTATTAAAAACTTAAACAATCGAGCGTGTATACTCGGTTCGTTCATTTCTACCCCTTTCTTTCCTTTTTTCTCTAGTTTTATATCGCGTTATTACACGCGCTTGTTTCAACGTCAACTGTGTTATTTAATTTAATTTAATTTAGAGCAAAGAAAATTGAAATAAGGTGAGAAAATGCAGATTTAGAATTATTTTATTAAAAATATAATATTAAAATAAGTGTACATTTTAAAAAATGACTTTACATACAATAACCTTTAATTTTTGGATCATTGACCATCATAATCTGTCGTTATATCTTCAGTAATAATTTTTTTTAATTTCTTTACTTCTCGCTGCTTACGATCGAACGTGAAACACGTAACAGATTGAAGTATTCAGTGACACAGCTGTCGCTTAAAATCACAAAAGGTCCCAGTACATTGCGACCAATTCGATTGTTACTTAGTTTGCAACTCTAGCATCTGCGACGCAGACTTCAATTCTCAAGCTCGCGAGGCTGCGTGAGCCTTGTTTCATTCTAAAACAGCTTTCCTTCCACGTGATCTTTTCGATCGTCAAGCACTGACAACTTCCTCTTACCAAACTAAATATATTCTCTGCAAAAGTACATCCTAACTTTAGGTATCAGTTTCTCTTACGAGAGAAACATTCTATACTTTCCAATCGCCTATTAAGTGCTTTCAATTAAGCTACTATCACATCCTTAGCGTTCGCTGATTTTTTCTTTTATGCATTACCGCTGGAAAGTTTAATCGCATCCATAAGAATGCAGTATTTAGAGTAACTATGGCGAGAATGATAAAAAGAAGTGGAGCGAAAGAGTAATTGAACATTCACGTACCTTGCCTTATTAAAGTTTCTCATTATTCCTAAATTATTCCTCATAGAAACCTCGCGCAAACGTAAAAATATCTAGCAATTTAAATAACACCTACATAATTCTAATATTAAAATCAAACTCGCTTCTTTCCGGCAGCAAAGAATAGAGAGTTCCATTTTTCGCATTGAAACCCACGCATACGAGTCCATTCGCTGATTATTTCCCATTTTTCCCCTTTAAAACATTTACTCTCTCTGCAAATCCTTTGCCCGAAACAAATCAATTTTTCTTTCCTATCAGATATTAATCCCTTCTAATCCTTCAAACGAATCTTCCCACTTTCCGCGCGATCCTTTCACCCCGCTATAAAATTCTCCGCCTTTGATCACCGGCTTACTTTCACGCAAACCGAAAAAGAAAAGCTACTAAAACCTTAACGATTCACCGACTCTATCTACGCGAAAGTAATTAGAGATCCGCGAGGTTGGTTAGAGTTAAGTCGGCTTCTAGTCGTAGGAAAAAAAAATGAGCACACGGCTCGCCGTGACGCGGAAACGAATTGCCCTCCCGCAATTTCATCGCGAACGACAAAAGGGTACACCACGCAAGAAGACTAATTCCGTTTGCTCGTTATACGACGAGTCAAGCTGAAGATGAGAATATCCGCTGTTACGGCGACACCTGAAAGCTACTTCTTTACGATAGCAACCGAAAAAAAAGAAGATCGAAAGGAAGAAGAGGTCCGTAGACAATGAAACGTGGAGACATTACACGAGCGGCATAAGCGCGATGCGTACCTCTCTTGGTCCCGTTTCCCTCGACACCTGTTCCATTCCACCCGGCATTTATCTCGTGGCGACACTATTTTCATGGGAATCAGCACGGGATATTCAACGCTGATTACCTGCATGTCACGGAGAACCGGAATTCTGCTTTTCTACGGACAGAGATCACACTTTTGTTTTACGATCAACCCTCTAATCTCGGTCCTGCGATCGTTCTGGCGACTGATGAAGTTTCTTCGCAGTTTTACTCTGTCACTCGAGGGAACAGTATTCGGAACAGGGATTGTTTTTTAATTATTCTTCGCGCGAATTGGAGTTGAGCATTTGGAGAAAGTGGAATAACGTTAGAGATGGGTGATTTTTGTGGACATTTAGTTTCTGATCGATCTATATAAAATTGTGAAATATAAAGCACGTTTGTAGGATAGAAATAATGAGTTTTACGATTATTTTGGCGTGGGTAACAGACTTTTTACCATCTAAAAGAGCACACTACGGTACACATTCATATTTTCTACTAAATAATCCTTTTAATTTTGTTATTCTTATTCTTTTCGTTATTCTTAATTCTTTTAAGTTTCTATGTCTCCTTCTCACAGTTCCAAAATTGTGCAGTTAGATTAAAGTAGTTCTATATGGAAAAAAGTTTAAACAGATTAAAAATTGCTCGGAAGGTATTCAAGGAAAACGTTTTCTAAATGTAATTCAAATCATCGTCATAACATTCACTCATATTTTCTCGGAATGAGCAAACTGTAAATACTTTACTCAATTAAGGAAAAAAGGAAAAAAAGAAATTGAGATATATCAAACATACAAATTACGAGAAACTATGAGATATATGATATACATACACTACCGGCCAAAAATTTGGAATCACCTCCCACTTTTCATCAATATTTTTTTATAGATTTCAAGTTTATCTCAATTCTACATTTATCAATGATTCGAACGATAAAAAATTTTCAAAGTCGCTGACTTCTTTCTGGAAATTTTTCTGTAAATTGCAATGCTCGGTGATTCCAAACTTTTGGCCCGGTAGTGTAGATCACGAGATATTATGAGATATATCGGTGACAGATCTTCAGTCCAGAATTTCACGAGCTCAAGTGCTCTGTAACGTTTACTTTCCCCCGCTTATCGCTCGAACACCGTTACAACGTTGAAAATTTCTCTGTTCTCAGATGTGGATGTACTCACTGGGAAGGGCATTATTGGACACGACCCCGAGAGTCGCAGCGCTGACAGGAACGGTTTCCGTTTCACCCTCGTCGGCACTTCAGTCTGTTTTAGCCGCCATGACGGAACCCGATCCACGAAGACGAGCTTCCTTGATGAATCTGCTGGACGTAAGTCTGTAAATCTAGTTGAAATTGTTTTCTGCTCTCCTCTCCCTCGCTATTGTCGCGAGATCTTTCATGAAGATCCGCGGCCCGGCTACTACTCCTTTCTCATCCCTCTTTGATAAAGCAACAGACGCGACACAGACTGGAGCAATGGGACAGAATATTTTATCTATGCTCACTGTGCATATCTAAAACGCTTTCTCCTTAAAACTTTAATTTCTTCGTTTTAAATAACAACGTTCTTTAATTGAATATACAGCGTGTCACCTAAATGTCTTCTCTATCTGTGGTAATGCGAGAAATATTTCTTACTTAATTTAACCCTTTGCGCTCGGGGAATTTTTTGATAAGATCAATAGCGAAACTTCTGGAATTTTTAATGTTTACGAATTTAATTATTTCTATTTCTCGCGTTAATTTGCATTATTTCAACAGTGTAAGATCTGAATTGTACGTTTTGAAGTTCTCCAAAGTAATTACGCGAGTGCAAAGGGTTAAACGGTTTCAAAGGGTGAATGAGATTGAAGAAAAATTTGTTTATAGTAGAGATTTCATGTCTGATTTGAAATTTCAGCTCTAACATATAACTAATATATAAAGAAACATAGATGACATTTATTGTCACGTATACAGAAGACATCGAATTAGCCAGTTTCACGCGAAACACTCTGTATACTAAATTTATACTTCGTATAATACAAAATATACCTGGTCTACCGGTGAAGCAGGTCACACATATTAATATATAAACATGAAAATTTAATTGGAGTGTAGGTAAAGTAAAATTAACTCCTTTGTTACTACCTGACGCCAGCAGTGAGCGTTCGCTGTGCAGGAAAGGTGTCTGTAATCACCCAATTTTAATATTCATCGAATTTTATCGCGTAACAGACTTTGCTTATTTTCCCCGGATATAATCGAACATTTTCACTTTGTTTTAACTCTAACCGGTGTTCACGGAAAGGTACGTTAATTTAAGGATATGAAATAGACTGCGTTCTTAGCCGAAGAAACGGCGAGATTTTCCTGAAAATTTTCATTGCACAGGTGGATATTCTAAACTTTCAGCGAGCGATGTAGGTGTTGAAAGAAAAGAGAATAGTGCATACATATTCATGATAAACAGTCTCGTTGACGGAGGGAGACTTTACGTTTTTGTTTTTTATTTTCCACGTGTATTCAGAATGTGGAAACTGAATTTTCAATAATGCGCACGCGTACAGCTGCAACGAAAACATGAAATAAATGAATAGGTGAAGCTTCGGCATTCGATATTTCATTCTACGCCGTTCCACTTCGATATTTTTCCCTTGCATTTCCTCAACACCTATCTATATGCATGGGACTCGCGGGGAAAATTGTCACAGGGACTTTACAGAATTTCGGCGTTAAACAGTATTTCCATATAGGGAAAATACGGATGCATTTTTGGAAAAAAATTGCCTACGGGTGAATGGAAGTTTCTGCGCGAAATTATTGATAAAAGAGAAAGTTTAACAACTGATATTTCGAAGCGAACTGTTTCGCGAAAATGAAGGATTAAATTTTTATTTTGTATCATACTAATGATAAGAAGAAATCAATTGTCGTTCCTTTCACATCTCGTATTTTTATTATTATTTTGTAACGAAGTTGCAAACTGTCTATTTTTGTATGAAATTTTGTCGTTATTATTGCATAGAGTGTGATAAGTAAAATAAAACAAACATCCTGACTGTAAGATTAATAGTTTGAAAGATAATTTTATTAAAAATTTAGTTTAGCGACTGAGACACAGCTAAAGTTAGCAATCTTTTATTACTTAAACTAGACTTAAAATTAGCAATATTAAAGGAAGAATTGATATTCAGCAGTTTAAATTCAATTATTCGGCAATTTCGTATGGTAGAATCTAATAATTCAACCTTCTATCTAATTGATGCCGGGTGACAGCTGACTTTTAGATTTCTCTTGTTTCAATCGACATTCCAAACAGTCATCTCTGTCTTCAACTCTCCTTTCTTATATTATAAATATGTTCCTCAGTTTAATCATAATATATTTGTATAATTTGCAAAATAAAAAAGTGTGGTTCCACTTGCGTACGAAAAAGAGATTAGTCTTGGGTCACGTTTGACCCAGCCTCCGCCATGCGTGGAACTATTATATCAGTCACAAATATGCGTTACAGTTTTCTAAAAATTTTCTTTGCTAAAGTTAAAATTTGCCAAAAATTTGATTTACTAAAATTGAAATTCGCCAAAATTGAAATCTGCTAAAATTGAAATCTGCTAAAATTGAAATCTGCTAAAATTGAAATTTGCTAAAATTAAAATGCTAAAATTTGTCAAAATTTGCATTAGACCAATAATTAAATACAGATCAGTCCGTGCAAATGAACATAAAAATTTGACATTATTCGAGTTACGTCCCAGTCAACAGCAAACAGCGATATCACGTTTTCAAACCCGAGTTTAAGCGAACGTTGGCGTGCTCCAGGGGACGTATCGTAATTATACCGGCGATTTATTCGTCGGGCGTTTTTGCAAAGTCGAAATTAATTTCCGTGTCACGGCCAAGAGCAGCAAGCGAGATGTTGAATCACGAACATGCTTGAAGAAGCAGCTGCATCGGAGTTGAATCGGATGCATACGCGGCTCAAACAACGGGAAAACGCCGGACCGGCCTTTCGCGAGAATAGTAATGCAATTTCTTAGCTATAAAACACAGCGGTTCCTCCGCTATTGGAATTCGACGCCCATTCTCTAAACTATGAAAGTCCGAAGCTTTACTTTTTCGCTCGCTCGTTGTTTGCCAGAATCGTGAAATGCACGTGGCCGATACTTGCACACCACTTGCATAATCTTGTTACGAAAAAGGCATAATTTTCGCGTTTTCGGTGGACCAACACTGAGCATCGATTTTGCGAAGAAGAATTTCGAGATAAGTTTCCGTAACTTTCGAGAAATCTCTGTAGGATTTGGTGGTTTCTGTGATCAAGGCTGGACAGGTGTAATTTCAATAAATCGCTTATTAAATTAGCGTTTCAGATTAAACGCACGGAAATTCTATCGTTGCTACATCTCGATTAAAAGAAAAGAACACTAGGCAATAATGTGTACCTTACTTCCGCGCGTATTTTGCCGCACTTTTTTTTGCCATTTTTTACTAATGGAAAATCAGGTTACGAAAAATAAACAAATTTCATCAAAAGTAGGACTATACCGGTATTTATTTTTACAGAGCACCCTAATTAAAAGAAGTCCGAAGGCAGAACACTCGGATACTATTTTTTCACGAAAATAAGGGTGAAAAAAATACGCAAATTTTCTCTCAAAAATTCTTTTTCCTCATCCAAATTCTTGATTTACATCAGAAATAGAAAAATAGAGTACGCGGTAAAAATAGGCTATCTTTTCTTTTTACCCAAGTACCTTCTTTGATTTACAACAGAAATCAAAAAACAGAACACCCAAATTTCATTTCCCCCTAAAAATATCAGGCGAAAATAAGGATGGAAAGAATACCCAATCCTTTTCTCAAAAATTCACATTTCTTCTTACCTAAAATACCTCTCTAATTGTGAGTTAACTTAAACGTGCGGAACAGGCGTACTGATCGACCGGCCCACGTCGCAAAGGGGTTACAGATTACGCAATTAGCTCGGTTGCGTCACCGACGTCGTGATGCGTTACCGTTCCAAATTTCATTAATATCTAGGCCGTGAAGGGCAGAACGATCCGTGAAACGAAGGCGAATCTGACGAACTTAACGCGATCGCAGAGGGAGAGAGAGAGAGAGCACTCTGCGGAGGAGGACAAGGGGAGGCTGGTTTAATTGTATTATCTGTCGCGTGAACGGAATGGAGAAGGCGAACGGGTCGAGGCGGCCGATTCTAGCTGGTTTAATACCTGACCTAGCCATCCTGCGATCACGTTGGGAATTTCACTGACCTATGACGTTTCCTTTCTAAAAATAGAAGACAGGAACAGAGATGATTAAACGCCGCGTTATAACCCTTCTTCTGTTACGGTGTTTGTTAGGAAATTGAAATTGATCGCGCTGGATTCTAAGTTCGATGATTTATGACTTTAATGACTATCGTCAAGGTCAAACACAAATTTTATCGTTGTTTTACCTTGGGAAAATTTTGGGAGAATGTGCTAGCTTTTTGCTGCGTCTTGCGCGAGATTGGAGGTTTGACAAACAGAATGTAGATTGTCTACAGTGACGTCGGTAAATTTACAGAACTGGTAGATTAAAAATTCCAGGTCGTTTTGTGCGACCTTTTGAACCTCCTCGATATGACTGAAGTTTTTGAATGTAAATGAAAATTGCTTTGGAAAATAGTCCGAATTTTTGGACGATCTCGATAACTGTATCATAGCAAAGTATGTTTTCAACATACTTAGGCTTGTGAAATTCTAAATAATAAAATTAACACGATCTCGTTGTTATAGTAATAATGCAACATTCAGAATTATTCGACTGCTCAAAATTGTAAAAATAAATTTAAGATAAACTCTGCATTTAAAGAGGAAAATATGTTCGATAAAAATCTTGCCCCATAAGTAATATTAGCACAAATGTGTTTAACTTTCATGGTAATAAAAATGTGTCAACGAATTTATGGTAACGTTGAAGCAAATAAAAACTTAACACTAGAACGACCAATCGGGTCACGAATGACCCACCATTTTCCAAAAGCGAATTTTTATATAACTGAAACAAGATTGAAAAGTTAGATTCACATCAGTGCGTGAAAACAAAGTCTGAAATTTACAAACGGCAATCAAGCATTCTCTTTTTTCGGTCAAGTTGCTGATGGGTCATTCTTGACCCGGTCAATCGTTCCAGCATTAAACGAACGAAGTTCTCAACCTAACAAACTGGAAATTGATCCCCACTCCAAACGTATCATCCAACTCGCTATAGAGATGTTCCGAATAATTGAACCCAGCTGCACCTATATCTATCTCCAAGCTTTTTAGGCCAGCCAGCCGAAGATAACAAAGTCAATCAAGCTTTCCTCCAGTTCTCCGCCGAAGGCGTAAAAATATCTTGTCTCGGGACAGACAACAGGAAGAAAACGATCGGATGATTAACGGCGCGGCGTCGTTTCCCCCGGAAGCTGGCCACTTTTAATAAAGCCATTCGTCCAACTGGCCGTAATTCATCGGTTGCACCTGAATGGGCCGCGAAATTGATGAAATCCCGAGGCGTGGGCGGTCACGGTGGCGCAAACTTATCCCAACGCCGGCAATTTCAACGTGGATTCCTCTCGGTTCGCGATGAATCACCGAGCGCTCGCTCGGCCAGGATTCGATCAGCCGCCGCGCCGCGGAAAAGCGACGCGACCGGGGAAGATCGATCTTCGCGATCGGGAAGAAAAGTTGCGCGCGATGAAAACGTTCCAGCGCGGTTCAAAATTGGAAAATTAAGCGATGGCACGGATTGATGAGAAATTCAGGGTCATACGCGATAGTTCATTCGCGGGATTCGGAAACGGTCGATGAAATCGACGTTGTGATCTATTTTCGTGCCCGGATATGGAATTTATGCAAGTACACAAGTTTAGGGGAGAAACGAGACATTGTTTTGGAAGAGAAATTAAACAAATGGATTTTTTCTTTAATTTCTGCAGTCAGATTTGTCGTTAAGAAATGCAAAGATCGTCAATTTACGCTATTTTTCTGCGTTTAATGGGTTTCGAGATATTGGAGTAATTATGTTTGCTACCCCTAACTTTCAGGGTAATTTTCACCTCTTCAGAGTGGACCATTGGCGATAAAAAAGATACGTGTCGAATATTTTTTCGAGATCTACCGCATACTAAAATTTCACTAAAATCGGTGATTAGCACTTTGAGATTTTCTTGGCGACCATCTTTAACCCTTTCGTGTCCAGTGGAACAAATGTGTTCCATTTGAATACTGGATCAAAAATTAATCTCATTTAGCATGCGTCACAGTGCAAAGTGATGGTTTGCAGATTTAAAAACTGAAAATTCAAACCTTGAAATTTAACGGAAGTTTTATTAATGAAAAATTCATTAAAATTTAAGGAAAGGCTTATCGATGAAAAATTGATCAAAATTTCAGCTAAAATTATTACGAAGATATTTATGCAATAGATTGGCAGAAAGATGGAACATACTCGTTACAATGAAAATTAACATATTACAACACAAGTTAAATAAAGAAACTTTGAAAATATCGTTTTTGATATCGTAGACAAGCAAACGTGAAGTTTAAAGCCAACGATAGGTGAAACGAAACTAGTTTATATTTAAAGAAGATGGAAAGCCGTGCAAGTGAAATTTTTCAAACATAAAGCGAAGGTGTTTTAAAATTTTGAAAATGTTCTTGACGATGTGTATTCTTCAGAGTGATATGGTGTAGTACACGTTGTACTGGCACAGATACTATGGTTTATCGTTGTTAGGCTCCTTTGTTGTTTAGAGAAAAAAGAAAATGAAAAGCATCTCCGTGTACTTTAACGAGGTTTCGTTTACAAAGCGTGCGCAATGTGATGAGCATTTGTGTCATGTAAATAAAGCTCCGTCGCTAAAGGGAACGATGTTTCTGATTTTACATTTCTTCTCTTACTGTACAAAATCTCCTATTACGTGAACTAATTTAATACGCTCCTGCTGTGAGAAATATTCATTCCCACCAAAGTGGAAATTATCGAATGAATATTTAAATCATACCTTTGTAGGAAATTTTCGAAATTTCACTCTTGTGTTTCTTCGATTATTGATCAAAGTTTTCAACACTTAACTTAACGAACTATAAGTCTCTCGGAATTTTTTCAAATTTTTTGAAAGCTTAAAATAGTACAGAAATTAGACTTGGACATAAACGACCCTCTTTACCTACAGAGTGTAAAAAAAAAATCTATTTACCTACGGAGGGTTAATTAATTAACACCCTTTTCCGTGAAACTTTTCAAATTGAAACGATAAGAAAAAAAGTGTAATCGTAAAGACACTTTAGCAGAAATCGCAAAGGCGTGATAAATAAAGAAAGGAGCCCTTTCTAACATCGTCTTCGCGTGGTATTGTCTTTCATAGACAGCCAGGTATCCAAGAGTTCGCTTTTGTCGTCGCAGAACAGGAGTACAATGAAGCGATAATAGGTTGGACTTGGGGACCGCTCCTCCGTTGATATCAGAGCTCACAGAGTCTACGGAATTCGTAGTGGGGCTATTGTTCTCTAAAACTAATAGATTGTCTGGCAGGGTGGCGGCAATTTCGAAATCGGATAATCAGACTGCTCCCGTAACAAGATAAACACACGTGTACAGTCTCATTAAGGCCGCGAAAGAGAGAGAGAGAGAGAGAGAGAGAGGGGGTGAAGGTGGAACTCGTAACAGTATCATTTTGGGGGAGAAACTTCGAAATCTATTAGAGCATTTGACCCGATAGTTTCGTTCCAGTTGCGAATTTCCAACTAGTTTCCTTTGTCTGACTTCTGCCTTATGATAGCAAATGATAATGGCCAGCTTTGATCAATAGACGTCGTTCCACATATTCTCAATTGGAACCCATAATTCTGTACGATATAATTCAGGAACGTAGTTCAGTTCTGGGGGCAAGTTTATTCGTTTCACGCGATTCGGAATATTGATCGATCCGGTTTGACAATAATATTTTCCAGCTGTTTGGATAATGTTAATATTGTTGTAATAGTGTAATGAGGTAGTTTGAAATTCGCGCCTTTATACTGGCAAGTAGTGCGAATGTTGACAGTATATTATGATATGAAATATAATAATATTGTGATAATATTGAAATTGATTGGGAACATATTGGCAATATTATTATAATATAATAATATTAATATTGATAA